GCACAGACCCAGCCACGGGAGGGCTGGCGTCTGGAGTTGGGCAGACGCTGCCCCTCACTGGTTCTGGGAATCAAGGTTACCCAGGCACCCGCCCTTGGCCTAGTTTCATCACCTGCCCACCTACATCTGTGCGGCCTTCGTGGGCTCTCAGTGAAAGCGTCCACGCAAATGCCCAGAGCACTTGGCTCACAGTACGCACTCCACATATCTGCCTTAACCACAGACCCAAGGATGTCAGTGAAGAGAACCAGCAGGCAGCAACAGCGGGGTGAGGCCTCGGGGGGAGGAAAGGAATACACAAGCGCACGGTAAGCCCCATGGAGGTAGGGGCCAGGCTGCTGGTTCTCACCACTGCAGGCCCGGACCCTGGAGGAGTGCCCGAGACTAGGAGGCTGTGCAACAGCGGACAGATGGGTACATGGATGGATGGATGGATGGATGGATGGACGGATGGAATAGGGATCGGGCAGCTGGGTGGCACAGTGGAAAGAGCACTGGCTCCTGGTCAGAAGTTCAAGTCCATGTCCCTCCAACTCCCAGAAGGACGCATACCTTGACTGTGGCCCTCAAGTGCGAAATGAGAAGTTCGAACAGGACAGTCCTAGCTCTTCCGACCCCGACGCTGAGGGTCTAAGTTATGTGTGGTCTTGCCTGAGTCTTCCCTCCCCTACCGACTCTGCGTCAAACTGTCCGATTCCCTCATTTATTCCGAGCGCATCCAGCACTTCCTCATCTCCAGGGCTTTCCCCGCGTTCCCCCTTTTCGTCCCCAGCGCTGAGAAAGCCCCCAAACCCTCAGCCCAGAAGCTAACAGGGTGAGAGTAAAGACCACCCCAGGCTCCAGTGAGTCCTCCCTCCCTTTCCTGGAAGCCATCGCCAGCTGCCAATAATATCTGGTAACCACCATTGTCTTCGTTTCACACATCTGTCTGTCTGTCCCAGACAAACGTCCCCATCTACCGACCTCGCACACAGGAGGCCAAGAATCTCCGTAAGCAGTTCTCCATGTCACTGAACTTACAGGGGAGTAACTGAGCGCAGGAGATGCAGCGCTGCTTTATCCCATCAGATTCATTATCTCACTTCTCGGAAAGGCAGCCAGCGTGAGCAGGACTGGGCTGGACGCGGCCCCCGGGCTCCCCGGCTGACCTTTCACTGTCACTTGGCCCAGGGCTCCTGAGGCAGCAGCGGAGACGGTGGAGCACACTGCTTCCACTTCCAGAATCAGAGTGAAAGGGACGAAAAGGAAACTTAAGAGATTTCCAAACATCCGGGAGCTATTTTTGAAAATGAATGACTTTTCCATTCACTTAAAAAAAAAAAAAAAAGGGAAGGAAAGAAAAAGAAAGATATTAGCCCAAGAATAGACCAAGAAGTAGTTGTTGATCATTTAAATGGAAGAACATTCCTGCAGGAGGCCACCGCTTATGTCCTTAACATCAAGACACTCCCCCACGTTCGTGCACACACTACCTAGAAATGAAAAATGGAGGAATCAGGACTTGTTTATCAGAAAGTTTCTAGAACACCAAAATAGACTGTGGGATAAATATAGTAAGCGTCCTATTAATTAATACTAAATGAGCGTTCCAAGAAGGTAGCAATCAGTGATGTCACCTGGCTCCGTTCTGCGGGGCTCCAACCTGGCAAACTCCCTACATGGATTGTTCGCTCCTTAAAGCGACAGCCTGCCCCAAGGACTTACTATAGCCCCGGAATTCTCCCATGCAGTGCAGCCGCACCCGTCCCGTGAACACAGGTCCCCTAAAAGTGTTTGTGACGCCGACATCTGGGCCTTCCACCATCATCGCGGTCATTTACACTGTTTGGGTCGCCAACGTGCCACGGCTCACCATGCTTCAGCTGCTCCAGGCGGGCACTGCCAGGAGTGGATGTGAAACCGCGCCGGAGCGCACGGCCCCTGCAATGGCACCCCGGCTCCCCTATAGGACAGACCAACACGGCCCCTCAGGGACACACGTATGGACGTACAGCCGTCGAGGGCACTGGTTTTTCCAAAGGAAGCCAAAAGGTTCTCTCCTCATTTTCCACCTAAATGGGAAATACCTTTTTATACAGTGGTGACTGCGCTCTGAGCTCATATATGTTAGAATCCCACAAAAGACTCACCCACAGGAACTACCCGCCACAGAAATGGTGAACTAACTCTATGTTTTTAAAGAAAGCTTTTTGGTATGATTCCAACAGCTCTGCAAAGTATCCTCCCAGTGCTGACCTGCAGAGACGGTGCGTTTAAACCTAAGGGGGTTCCGAAGCAAACCAAAGCGCTCTGCTTGGGAAGGGCGGCCATGTTTGCAGCCACATCTGTAAAGACGTTCCCTGAGGCTGCAGCCTCTTTGTTGTGACTTGAAAAAGAAAGCAGAGCCTCAGTAATTCACCAGCCTGCCCTGAGCCCGCAACAGCAAGTGCTGTTAAACACAACAATAAGTGGAATGAACAGAAAACTCTAGAAGGGCCCTCGGGTACTTCACTTACAACAGTATACATTTTTAAACATATTTTATTGACTTTTTACAGAAAGGAAGGGGGAGGGATAGAGAGTTAGAAACTTCGGTTAGCTGCCTCCTGCACACCCCCTACTGGTTATGTGCCTGCAACCAAGGTACATGCCCTTGTCCGGAATCGAACCCAGGACCCTTCAGTCCACAGGCCGACGCTCTATTCACTGAGCCAAGCCGGTTAGGGCCAACAGTATATTTATACTATTGCAGTTCTTGCTAAATTACTTGACATATGAAATGTTTTAAGTCAGCAACAATGTGCGCCTCACCTACTACATCGAAATTCCTCCCTGATTTCGATTTCATTTTTCATTTTCTTGAAAAACCTGTCAACTTGCCTCTCTCTCTCTCCTGCCAGTTCTGCCTTTGGAAGCTGTTTGGGGAAAGTCCTCATTTCTTGAACACCGTTTTCTGATCACATGAATCAAAGGCCACTCAAGGGGGTTCTAACTGCATAAGGAGAAAATGTACTCCCACACAGTTTTTTCCATATCATAAAGCAAGTCGGACTTTACAGGACAACCGGTCACCTATAAAAAACCAGCAGGGCTCTGTTTTGAAAGAAGAAGAAGAATGACTATTACACCATTTACACCCTTCAGAGACTCCCCTTCACTGTTTGCGGCTTGCCGAACATTCCATACATATTTCGGGCAAGGTATTATGGGAGCTGCAGCCCAAGCTGTCCCCTGCTGAATTTTCACTCGCTATAAAAACAATGTCTCATAAACGTATACACATGTTTTTACTTTACCAAAAATGTAAAGTATCCACTGGTGTTCACTCAGACGACACTTTGGGCATCAGAAACCAGGCTTTTTAAAATGTCTGCAAGGGGAGGGGGTCATTGAGTAGCACAGGTTTCTGGGGGAGAAAGCAGGCAGCGTGCATGAGCGCAGAGCTCACTGCCGGAGGGTCTGCTCACCCATGTGCTGGGTCCCTCCACACACAAGGCAATGCTTGAACGTATGCTTTCTCCCCTGAACCCCCACTCCAGTGGAACCACCCCTGTTTTATATTACCCTCATAAAACGCGCCTCAGCCTTTGCTAAGCAAAACGCTCCTCTTAATTGGTTCATTTTCCAGTTGTTTGGGTTTTTAACACACACACAGCAGAAAAGGGCACCGCATTCCAAGCAGTTCTAGCAATTCCAGAACCATCCGAGGCTGGATCAGACAGCTGTGGCCCTGGCCTCCGGTTAAAATTATAATATGATCTCACCTGATTTTCAAAATAACTAAGCATCCTTTTAACCCATACAGCCGTGCTAGCCCTGACTGCGTTTCTGAGTCCCAGGTTTGCAATGCTCAGGGCACCACGTCGCTTCTGCTTAGTGGGGCTTTGTTTTGCTTTTCCCTGTCTGAACCCAGAAAAACGCTTCCAACAATAATTCTAGCAGCTTCCCTCCCGCGGGTCTCTCTGGCAGCGCCAGGGCCAGGAGCGCTGGGCAGGCAGGTAGGCGGAAGCCGGCGCGATGTCACACCACGCTTGGTCTTTTCAAGTCTCCAAGTCACCGGGAAGCCCGGAGTGTTTCCTTTCTGGCTCTGGGGCCGGGACCGAATTTGCTCCAGACAGGACAAGATATCAGATAACCGGGGGAACACTCGGGTTCACCAGCATTCCCGAGCCCACGAAAACTGCAGCTCAGCAAAAGCAGCCGAGCCATTGAAAGGGTTCAAGAAAAGCTCCATTCCCCGCGCTTAATTACATGCAAGAATTCGTGTCTGACTCCATACGGCTGATTTGCATGAATAATAAGACAACCTGGTGCCCTATTCACTGCTCGCACAAAGGGGGGACCTCAAATTCAGCCCTTGTTTTCCGTTTCTCCCCAAAGCATCTGGGTCTAATCAGCCTCCCTCTGGCCGCGCACACAAGGCTGTTTCCATCGGGACTCTAACTCGGGGTTTGAGGCGCTGCGGAGTCACTACCCATCGCGGCTGGGAAGAGGTTCCCCCCGCTCCCCGCGATCTGGGAGCCCCTGGGGTGTCCCCCCTGGCAGCGCTCCCTGCATGGAACCCGGGCTGAGCCGCCAGACGGGGCCGCACCGGCGAGCGGGGCGCGAGTCCGTACTCCAAGGTGACAGCTCCGCGGCCGCCGCGGGCCCGGGTGCTCCCGGGGCCGAAGCGGGGCGGTGGGCCGCAGAGGCCCGGCGGGACTGGGCGAGGCGGCGGCGGAAAGAGGAAAAGAGGGCCATCCGTCAGCCCCGGGAGAGGAAATTCCCGGCGCCCAGCTCCCCGGCGCCGGTCCCGGGTGACGTGGGGGAACCCGGTCGGTGCGTCCGCCGCGGCGGGGGCCGGAGGAGGCCGAGGCCGGGAGAGGAGGCGCCTGGATCCTCGGCCCGGGCCCCGGGGATGGGGACATGGGGCGCCCTGCTCATCGCCCGACCCGGAGACCTCCCGGGGCCCCCGAACCTGTGTCTGAGCCCCAGGAATGGGGCGTCCGGGCGCTGCCCGGGCCCCGCGCCGACGCCCTTACCGGTCCCGGGGGTCGATCCACGACGTCTGGCGCGTGTTGTGGTCGATGTAGAAGACGCGGGCCGTCGTAGTCGCGCGCCTCCTCCCAGCCGGCGGGCAGCGGCAGCTCGGCGCTCTCGCGGGCCCGCAGCGGCGCGGGGGGCGCGGGGGGCGCGGCGGGCGCGGGCGGCTCCCGCGGGGTCTGCACGGACGGCGGCTCCCGCGGGACCTCGCGCGCCTGGCCCCGCCGCCGACGGCGCCCGCCGCTCAGCCAGGGCATGACGGCGCGGGCCCCGCCGCCCGGCCGCCCCGCGCGCGACGCCTCCTCCGCCAGCACTACGGCCCGCGGCCCGAGGAGCGGGGGCGGCCGCGGGGAGCCGCCCGCCGCGCCCGGTGCATCCTCCGCCGGGCGCCCGAGCCCCGGCGCCCGCCCGCCGCCCGCTGGTCCGGCGCGGGGCCGCGCGCGCAGCCAGCCGGCTGTGTCCGAGTCGCTGTCGCGCGTCGGGTCACAGCCCCGGAGCGGCGGCCACCCCCGCTGCGGGTGACTCCTCAGTTCCCGCGGCGCGCCCGGCCATCTTCGTTCCGCAGCGCGGCCCGGCCGGGAGGGGCGGGGCGTCAGCAGGCCACGCCCCCGGCCCGCCCCCGGGCCCGCCCCCTCGCGCTCCGTTCCCAGGCCCGCTGCAGCGCCTTCCATCTCCGCCGGCTGTTCCACCTCTGGTCTCCCTCGGGGCCGCTCTGCGAGCCGCTCCGCTCCTCTACCCTCAGCCCCCACCCGGTGCGCAGCTTCTCCTCCTCCGACCCGGCCGGCGGCTCTTTTTCCCCCCCATCAGTAACACTCCTCCCCCCGGGCCCGCGCTCCTCCCTCTCCCCTCCCGCTCTCCTCCCGCTCCACCACCTCCTCCGGCCTCCGCGGGAAACCGCACGGGGGCCAGGATGGGCGCCACCGCGTCCGTCCGCCCCCGGGCCGCCGCCGGGGGGAAAGGGGGCCTCAGGACGGCGCCCCACCCGGGCTGCAGGCGGGCCTGTCTAGGCTGACTCCTTGGGGCCCAAACAATTCCCAGGGGGACAGGGCGGTCACCTGACTTCACCCAGTCCCCGGGGCCTGGGGCCTCCCCTCCGCCTTTTTGGGGTTCGGGGGAGCTGTACCCCGGGTCTCCCTAATCGCAAGGTGGTCTCGAGAAAGAGGGAGCTGGTAGCTGGAGGAGGAACCCGAGGCCCGGCCCTCCTGGGTGGCAGGAGCTGGGCAGGTGGCCACTTGGTGGCCTCGGAGAGCCCTGGAGCGCTGGTCCGGAATCTGCCCTGAGCTGCCCTGAGCGTTTCTGTCTCTGCGGCTGGAGGATCCGATAGTCTGAGCGCAGAACCAAGTGGGCTGGGGAGCGAGCCACTTCCACCCCGAAAACACGAACCCTCACTGACCATGTATGAACCACTCACAGCTCATAGCGGGGAGAACTGAAGTCCAAAGTTGGGGTTCTCTCTGTCTCCAAAGACCCTCAGCCAGGTAGTACTGCAGATCCCTGGCCCAAGACTTAATGTCAGGAAAATATCAGCGAGGCTCTAAAACCCTATTAACAGTGATGCAAAGCTCCCGGGAAAACCCTCCACCCGGCGGTGTGGCTCAGGGGCTGAGTGTCCCCCCCGGGAACCAGGAGGTCACCATCCGATTCCCAGGGCGCGTGCAAGAGGCTCCCAATCCACGATTCCCTCTCATCGTTGATGTTTCTCTCTCCCTCTCCCTCCCTCTCTGAAATCAATAAAAACGTCTTTTTTAAAAGCCTAAGAGGGACTCATATGGAGATACACAGGACTAGAGGGAACCGGTCCAAAATGCTCGCAGCAATTTATTTGCATTCCTTTTAGGGGGAGGGTTTTTTTTTTTTTTTTAAGTCTTTTACCTTCCAAACTGTTTGTAAAATGATCATATCGCTCTCAGAAGGGGAAAGTTGTTTGTAAAAAGACTGCGAAGGCATGGACACTGCTGGTGGGGACACATCCAAGGAAGGCCTCTCCCTCTCCTCCCCCAACACCGCACAGCTCCCTGCTGCCCCCGAGTCTGTCCCGCTGCGTGTTTTACCAGGAAATGCTATAACCAGTGAAATCTGCGCACTTCAGGGGGTGGGGGGAGATCTGAAAAGCAAATACTTGGTGATTTTCAGTTGCAGGGAGAGCCCAGTGCAGAGCTCCCTGCTCTGACACCTTGCCCTCCCCCCCCCCATGGGCATGATTTATGGCCGAAAGGACTGCCACTGCCTTGTTTCCCCCTCTCCCTGCCCCCCCCCCACACACACACACCTTACCACCCTACATGGCCTGGCTAGAGCTGCGTCCTGGCCCTCCCAGGCGGTATATCAGCTCACAGTGTCACAAATCTGGGCGCTCCCGCTGGAAACGGCCCTGGATGGGGCTGCCGCGTGTTGGAGGTCAGCCAGCCTCTGCGGGGGGGGGGGGGGGGGAGGCGGAGAGAAAGAACGTCCCGCTCAGGGGGACAGAAGGAAGGACACGGGGGAAAGTAGCCAAAGAGGAAGGGGTTGGGGGACCCCCGAGGGGGACAGGTGTGAGGCCGCACTGCAGACCTACTACGTGCAGGCATCCATGGTGCCGGTGGTGAGGTGCTGCAGAGAACAGGACAGTCTGTGCCCGCCCCACCGCCTGGGTCTGCCGCTGGACAAAGAAACAGGCACTGAGGACTGCGGCTTGGCTACCAATCCAAGGCTCTGGAGGCCTTGGGAGACCTAGAGGACGCCTTCTTGGATGAGGAAACTGAGGCTCTGGGCTTGGGATTCCCGAGTCCAGAGCCCTTATTCCTGGCTCCTGGAGCTGCAGTCATCAAACCCTCGCTGATTTGCATAACAGATGCGGCGCCCCACCCAGCTCTCCTCCGGGGGCCGCAGCCTTTGGAAGGCTGGGCCTGGGCTGACAGGCTCTCAGGGACCCCGTCTGCACCTGGACAGCCCAGCTCCCCTGCCTCGGTGGGACCCCCGCTACTGCACCTCACACTCTAGATCTTCCCTGGCCGCCCTGGCTTTGCCAGCTCGTCCCTGCCCCAGCAGGCCTCTCCCCTCCATCAGCTAGCACCCCGTTCACTCACTCACTGGCATGAGAACCCCCTCCGCAGGCAGGCAAAGCGTCGCTTCCAGGAGGCCTGGCCTGAGAGAGCGGGCTGCCTCCCCGGCACTTAGCAAATATGAACGGTTTGATCATCATAACAACAAATCCCGGATCTCCAGCGGCATTTGCACAGGAATAGAGAGCCCAGCGGTGAGACAGCCGGCCAGAGTGGGAGGGGGGGCCCTCATGCAGCTCTCTCCGCAGCCCCGGGCCTCTGGGACTCCGCTACGTGAAGGAGGCCCAGCGCATCCACCTCCTAAGTGAGCGGACTTGCAAGAAGCCAGAACGTGGGGAGACCGAGGCCTGCCCGTCCCACCATCCGTCCTTCGGACTTGGAATGTTGGTCCAGGCCGCGGCTGGTGACCCCTAAAGACCCGTGCGGGGGGGGGGGGGGGGGAGGGCGTGCAGGAGAAGTCGGTTGGGGGTGAAGGGACTCCCCAGCTCTGCCCCAGAGAGGGAGTGCGTGTGCGTGTTATTGTCAGGGAGAAGAAGGCCGTCTTTCTTGCAGGCAGCGGGGCTTTCCATGTTGCACGGCGAGCACATGCGCACACAAAGCGCTGGGGAAGGTCTCGGGTCTTAGCCGAGCGCACAAGCATGCATTCTTTATGGCCCCCGCTAGAACCGGCCTGGCCGGCAACAAAAGCGCAAACATTGCAGACCTCTCCTCCCGCCAGACCCCTCTGCTCCCGCCCGGACCCCTCTGCTCCCGCCCGGACCCCTCTGCTCCCGCCCGGACCCCTCTCCTCCGCCCGGACCCCTCTCCTCCCGCCCGGACCGCTGATGGAAACGGCGCAGGGAAAGCCCACTCGGCCCCCCCCCCCCCCCCCCGTAATCGAGACGCAAATAATTGTCCTCCGCCCGGACCCTCCGGGAACCCCCTCTCGGAATATTTTCTTTAAGATGCTTGTGAGGGAGTCAGTCCAACTCCCTCCCCGCATGCCAGACCGGCGCGCAGAGCCTGAAGAATTTTACTCTCAATTAGATTCGGCCTGCGCTCCCGCCCCTCTTCCCAAAGGGGAGCCTTTGTTTCCAGGAGGAAGGTAGGAGCTGCAGGCACGCACATTCGGTGCTTGAGAAGCTCCGGGGGGCGGGTGGGGGGTGGGGGAGGAGGGGAGGGGGGGTGGCGGTCAGCGCTGTGAAACGGCCTCAGCCTCCGGGAGGGGAGGGATAAACACCACGGACAGGTCGCGCTCACTCGTGTAAACAATCGCGTGTTCTAGGAAGTGACACATCGGGTGATTCCGCACAACGTGCTAAGAGGGAAACGGAAACGGGCCGATTGGGTCCGAAGAAACGGCTCATTGTTTGGCATTCTTCAGATGCTGGGCTCATGACTCGGTTCTGGGCGCTCTGCACACGGTATTTGAATCATGCAAATCCCCAGCTTGGGAGGAGCTCAGATGTGGTGCTGGCTCCTCCCCGCCAGGCGGGCTTGGGGACTGGGAAGAGAGGCACCCGAGATCCCCAAGCCCACACCTCTCCTGGCTCAGGGGGCAGCTGGGAAGGAGCCCTCGCTTCACGCCTTTGCCTCTTGAGCTTGGCGCTTATCGGCTTGTGATGGGCAAAAGCTTTGTGTAGATCTGGTGTGCAGAGGGGGGACTGGACTTCCTTGATTTGCGGCTGCGGCCCATCCTGGGTGACTGTGAAGTGTTTTGTCCTTTGCTAATGCCCGCTGGGCACAGGCAGGGCACTGGGGCAGAGTCCTGGGCTGGGCCAGGCAGCTGCACTGGGTCGGTGTCCGTGCCCCAGCCTGTGCTGTGTCTGTCGGCTTCTCCAAGCAAAGCGATGTCCTTGGAGTCAGGTCAAGGCCATCCTGTTGTAGGCGGACTCCGTTTGCACCTGGGCTACTCAGATTCAGGTTTAAAAAAATGTTAGAGCAATTTCCCTCCCAAACTTAGAACGCTCACCACTTCCTTCCTCCCCGTCTGCGCTCCCACAGCTACATCTCTACTCCTTTCCCTTCCCGCCGTGGGTCCCCCACCACCACCAACACACACACACACACACACACACAATGCTGCGAGCCAGTGGGAAACGGGTCCCAGGCCAAGCTCCGTTTCGGGAAGACGCAGCTGCCATGAGCCAGCCTACCGCACCGCACTGCCTCCGGCCGGCCCCTCTCCTGCGTGGGGCTCTGACTCTGGTCCCCTGTGTGTTTGCAAAAACAGATTCTCAAGCTGCAGGCCTCTGCTTGCAAGCCAAGCGGAGCAGCTTGGAAGTCTCGGGCCCACAGAGCCGAGCGGAGGATTCAGCAGACAGAGCTGAGCGGTCTCCGGGTCATTAACATTTTGTTTCATTGGATGACACTCGCGTTATAAATGGGTCTCTTCTGGAGCATGAGCGGAACCGTTCTGGAACACGTGTAACCTCGCTGGATCCTGGAGCAACAGCCCGGAGGTCATATATCAGCGCCCGTCAGGCGGAGCGGCTTGGCCCCCAGGGAACACCTGGCAGGCAGGTCTGGAGACATTGTCAGTGTCAGACCGGACGGAGGGGTCTGCTGGCATCCACCACTCGGTCATCCCATTGGGCCTCCGTAGT